CTTTGTAACAAGCTGGGCATGATAAACATTTATGCTCCAGCTTAAGGGGGAGTGTTAGAAACTATTTCCTAGAATAGTAAAGTAGTAATGTAAATAAGTTTTAGACTAATTTCAATCCTAATATAGTATTAGGTATTTGTATATATACCCCCAAGATTTCCATGAATAATACAAGAGAAATACCTTGAATTATTACAATTACGTTTCCTAAAATATGTACCTAATTCAGAAAGTAAATTAATAATATATCTTCTCGGATTCCCTTCATATGCATTGGTAATAGTTATACAGGTGACAAGTATGTGACATTTTGTTTTTAGTACCAAGGATTCTTAATGGACTAAGACTGTCTACAAGGTCCAAAGACGAGAGATCTACTATAAAGTCAAAAGAAGAATCTATTCCTCCAGCTGTCTGCACGATCCTGTTAATTTCTTCTCTTTTTCATGTTTTTGGCTTAAACTGAAGGACACTATTATATCAAAGCTGTTCTTGGATGAAAGGGAAAATTGTCCTTCTCTAGTTCGATCTCCACTTGTTAAGTTTTTGTTTTTGTGTTTCCTCTATTTCTGAATTAACAATGCTTATTCAATTCAGACTCATATTGGCTGAATATTCTGGTGCTGTTCTTGGAGTATTATCTGGAGTACTGTATGGGAGGAGAGGACATATTTGGAAAAAGGTTAGTTTTGACTCTTTGGCATGGATTTGAACTTTTACAACTATTTATAATTTACTCGAGCTCACTTGGAGATGTGAATATAGTTATCTGCAAGATAAGTTGTGTCTTGTTTTATGTTTCACCGTTATTGACTTCTTCTCAGGTTATTTTGGAATTTTTCTAACTTGATCTATGGTGTGAAGTGTAGTTCCTGATTTCATTTTGTTTACATTCATTAATATCTTTCTTCTGAACCTCTTAATACATTTCAAAGACATACTTCTGGCACTTTGATAGCATGGTCAGAATGACATACAAATAGCATATGCTAGCTCAAAGATTAGCCATTGGCCGCTGATGGACACCTGGGAATAACTGATATGTTACATTTTTCTTTTAAATAAAATATTGCTATTGTGCTGTCTATTTGCCATTTATTTTATTCAGCTGCCCATTTTTTCATCTTTATCAGGTTGGTGGCCTATCTGCAATGCTAGCATCATTCTACTTCTTATCTCAAGGGTGGGCCATGGCCACACATTCACCGTTTTATATCCTTTCAGCTTTGACTTTCTATTGATTGTAAATTTATCTCATGTACTGTTAGGTGTAGAAATTTTAGTTTCCTCACCTTTTCTATCTTCTACGCTTTCATTTCATTAGCCCATCATGCAATCAGTGGTGACCTTAACCCAAAATTACCATTTAGTGATGATCCAGGTACAGAAGTGTACACAGAAGAAGGTTTGGGAATTAGGAACATATTATTTCCTGTATTAGCTGGTGTCTTATCAGCATTAAGAAGGGTGATCACACGACGTGTGTCACTTAAGGTATTGGCTTGTCTTTCTATGGTTTAAAGAAATCAAGCCTCCGTAAAATCAACACCCCTGCCCCCTAACACCCACATGCACATGAGGAAGAAGAAGAACAAGAACAAGAAATGACGTTGGATATTCTTCTCCTTTTTTATGATTCCAGAATCAACTTAAAAGGAGACTTCATGCCATTACAATTGCTTCTGCAACTTGTTTTCTGTTTCCCGTGGCAATGTGGGACATGATCATTGTGAGTTTGACGTTATGGATTTCTCCCTATATTGTTCTGTAAACATTAGTCCTGAAATCTTCTTCTATTATCTTCCTTCTTCGCCTGGTTTTTACTGAAGCTCGTTTTTGTTTATTTGTTGTGCTCATGTTGAAATGCTTCAGGGATCAACTGACGTAAAGTTGCCATTTTCTGCATGGACCTTTTCCAGCACTATCCTCTTTGGAATTATTTTGATATTTTATGTTGAAAGTATTGCTGAAGAGAGGTACATCCCTGAGCTCGTTTTAAATTAATTTGCTAATGATGGAAACATGAAATTTTGAATCCTTCTTTTAGTAGATATTCTGTGGGCTTAATCATTCCCATTAAATGCCGTTGTATTTTATTTTTTGTTCCAAATTTATCAGTCATGTTCTCATTTGGCTTTTTGAGAAACTGACTGTTTTGAAAAAAGGTACCGATTATTCTACAAAGTGATTGTTCCAAAATGTAGGCGAATGACTACACTGCTCTCAAATTCTGTAATTCAATTTTTTTTTCAGTTGGAAGCAATTCAGTGCCTTCAAGATTTGAAGATACCCATGAATTGTAAATTTATGGAAGTCATTTTTAATTATCTGTGCCAACTTGGTATTGAAGTGGAATACTATAAGAAAAGATGTTATTTTTCCATAATTGTGATATTTATAACTCACTTATTTGTAAACACAGTTTGATTTCAATATAATAGCATCAACTAGGCTTTGTTAATATGTTTCCACTCAAAATTGAGAAACTGCTTTGTCTACTGTAATAGTTAAATTGAATTTGTTAGACTCGTGCATGTAATGGTATGTTATGCTTTTCTTTTGTGCTTCTCACTATATCATTACTCTTCCTTTTGTTCATCACTCCTGAATTAGTTTCAGCTTAGGATTGTATCTTTTCCTGCTTATTGTTAAGAAATTGATGTGTTCACAGTACATTGTTTTCTTTTTTGGCTTCCAATATATAGATATGGGACGAAGCAGACAAGTAGCTTTTGCATTAGTGGTTTTGTATTTAAAATTTTGTTTGTCTAAATTACACATGACAAGACATCGTGATTGCTAATAGAGCACCAGTGCATAATTTGTTGGAACAGATTATGTGTTTTCCGATTGATGTGGTTTTCTGTTCTTGGAGTTGATTATTTATTTTCAGATTGCATATGGTTTTCTCTTCTCCGAGGCATTTGATGGTCGCTGCAGGATGTATCATTGTCATGGAGATTGTGTACAAAATGGATTTTTCCCTGCTTGGTTTTCTAATTTGTGCTGGAATTTTGGGCTTTGGTATGAATATAAGCTTCTATCTTGATTATTTTTGGATGTTATTCATGGCCTGCTGTTGTGGATGGATTTATGTTAAACGTGCCGTCTTAAGTGATGGCTTTAACTGCATGGATCATTTTCTACTTCCTTTTTACTACTATTCTTTCTTAGAATTTTCCCTCCTTTTATTATACTGTCATTAGTGCTTGATACAGCTACCAAGTAATTTTTATATAGTATGCTTTGATAAAAGCATATCTTTTAATTCATATCTTGAGTAAATGTGGATGTCAGGAAAGAAACTGAATGTTCGCCCCAAGTCTGTACGTAAAGTTTTTATCAAAATGATTTGAAAATTTTAAATTTTCATTATAATGTACTTCTGATGCTTCCATAAACACGTTTTCGTGTTTCGGTTCAAATGACATGCACATTTAAGTGTATATATTTAAAATTTTATGATTTCTGCTAGGACAACTATTATTACTTATTGGTAACATTATCACTTGACTTCTGCATGTGTAAATGATGAGGAGATAGTGAATGCATTTTGCAAAGGCTGAAAAGAGAATCCTCTGAAAAATTGAAAAGCTCAGTCATTGCATCTGATGGTTTTAGTAAAATACGTGATTTTAAGTGAGTATGTTCTTAGGTTGAGACGAGGCCAAAACTGAGATGATTGTCTTCTACTTCCCCCGGTTTCATCCAGTTTATGCACTGAATAAACTTGGAGACCGACAGCTGATCGTCTTGGTAATATTAGGAATCATTATCTGCAAATGGTGAAGATATAAGATGAAAGTGTTTTCCAATACCAGTGGATGCCTACAGTATTGTGAAATCTGTTTCATGGTACATAGTTAATATAGGATTTGGGATAAAAGATATTTTTGTAAACCTAAAGCGGTGGATCAGATGGCAATGTCACCAGATGCATGAAAATTGGGTTTTGAGTTTGAAGCAACTTCCCTGTGGGGTGCTCACGCACATGCTTATGGCAAGGCTTGCTAGGTTCATGGGTCTTGCGAGCAGGTATGCATGCCGCGTTAGCTCAGTTCTCTTGTGGCACCCCGGTATGTTTGGCTAAGCTTAAAAGGTGCTTATAAAAAAGGAAGTTAACTCATTTGTTGTCATGCGCATTATCCAACATACGCTTGAGGCACCGGGGGGATTGATGTCCAGAAGAAAAGGATTTGCCATATCTGCAATGTAAAATAGTTAAAAACGTGTATGTGTATGTGAATGTTCTTTATATTTTGTCTCTCTTTTATATGGTGTTTGGGGAGCAAGGTAAACGTGCCATGCGTCATTTCAATGATAAACTGAGAATAGTGCGATTGTGGTATAACATTGTATAAGTTTTGTTTTCCAGGCATATACGAAGCGACATCTTTGGACCATATTAGGAAAGATTCTTTGCAAAATTCAGATCTATCCGGTGCAGTTTTTGAGGACCAGATTCAGACGTCTCCCCTCCCAACTTAAAGTAAGGACTAATCTGTGTAGAATTCTGTGCTTCTCACTAGACTAGACAAACCTTATAATTACACATCCATTTGCTCACGATAGTTATCCTTCTTTTAAGCCTTGATGGTGGGATGGGAAACCCTTGTTAAGTTTATTAATTTCAATTGATCTATCCATATTAGGATTATCTCTCATTACAACAACCATTTGAAATTCCATAAAGAAGAAACTTTTATGTTTGAATTTCTCTTTAAAATTTTACATTGTATCAACTGAAACACTTAAACCAGTGGTGATTTTTATCTCTGAAAATGTGTCACTGCACCGAATTTTCTCCTTTCTCAACCCTAATAACTCTTTTAGGCCTAACCCGTGAAAATGACTTTCTGGTTTGAAATTTCTGTATGGCAAAAATAGTCGCAACTGGTTTACACTCGTGTACTGCAGGATTTCATCTCTGAACTTTTCCATTGACCTTTTTTTTTTTGTTTCTTTTTTCTTCTTCGTGCAGCAGCAATTTAATTAGGCGACTGTTGCATTAGCGTGGATCTGTTGCTTCCTCTTCCGAGTAAAAGTGGCTGCAAAAATATTTATAAACCTTTGCAGTGCCCAAATTTTTTCATATCTGCAAAGAAGAAATGTGCAAGCTGATTCTTGGCTGTTGTGGCCACTGGAAAATTCCCAACTGACTGAGAATGGCATTGTAGGTACACTTTGGAGATTGGATTGATTCCTGTGTATATCTTGTCAGTTGTCACTCAGGTTCATGGATTCTTCAATAAATACACCTTTTTCCCCTTCTTTTTGGAAAATACACTCTGTAGATCATTGCTGTGACCGTAAGCTCCCTAGTCCAGCGTTGCATTATCAGTTGAGAGGATTTTTTACGGAACGTGTGGTACACTGAAGTGGACATTGTTTGATAGAGTGAAAAACTTATAAATTTTGTCGTGCATCTGTCTTTAATTCAATGTAGTTGTGATTCCCTGCTTTAATTCAATGTAGTAGTAATTCCCTACGAGGTTTCAGTACATTTGGATTTCCATGGGGACTATGACCCCCCACTCCCCAACCCCGATCAATGTTTCATTCCCTCTACTTGAGATAGAAATCGAGTCAGCGTTCGTCCAACTATTTACGTTCATGATCTTTCGTCTTGGTCTGAGGACGAGATGATTCCTTTCCACTGACACATATTTCAATGCTCAACTTTGAAAGTTTTGTTTTTATGTTTTATAACGTTGAAAGTTTATTTTGTATGTTTTTAATCACATTAAACATACTATGAAAGAATGCTTAGAATGAAAGAAAACATTCCCCCACCCAATTCACACGCATTGATAGGAGCGGTGGGACCGTGGCTAATGGGCTAGTCCCTAGTCTCCTTGCCCAGGCGGTTTTTGTTCGATTTGTAAATTGATTTTCAAGATAAGGAAAAAGGGAAAAATTCATAACTCGTGTATTGTTTACATCAATTCACAAGTCAGGTTTATAGTTTCAAAATCAAAATTCAAGTATATATTTAAATAATTAAAAATATTTCTTAATTAAATACAATAAAATTAGATGTATACAATTAATGTTCACATATACAAAATTATATGTCACAATTTATTTATTAGTTATATATTATCAAATTAATTGATCACGGTTTATTATTAGGTCACAGATCAAAAAATTTAAAGGTCACAGTTTATTTGTTGGTCACAGATTTCCAAATTAGTCGGTCACGGATTATTTGATGGTCACAGACAAAAAATTATAGGTCACGATTTATTCTTCGATCACAAGTTTCCAAATTAAATGATCACATATTCTTCCACAGTCACGAATAACAAAATGGTCACAAATTAACCAAATAATTGCCACCTCCACCGCCACCACAAAATAGATACCACATAAACACCGTCACCACCACCAACACAAAATAGCAACCACACAAACATATCACAACCACCAACACAAAACAGCCACCACACAAACACCATCACCACCACTACACAGAAAACAGTCTAAACCCACCCCCAACTGCCAGATCCTCCGCCAACACTACGACCACCCTCACCCCGCCACCACACCACCTCCACAACGTACCACCACACCCACAGACACCACCACCGCACCAACAATAACAAATAAAAATTATCCCTGCTATAGCCTCTCAAAACCACCACACCACCGCGCACAACGCACCACCATCCCCTACAAACACACCATCGCACCAACAAATAAAAATCATCCTAAAATACCAAACATGTCGACTAAACCACGACTAGAGTCGTTGCAGCGACGATCTGAGCTCCGGTGCAGATCGCAACTGTTGCACCTCCACGCGAAGAGGCTTCGGTCTGCTTCCGTGGTGGCGACGACACGGCGCGGCGTCCTTGATGTCACGCCATTCACAGAGGGAGGGGAAGCGGGAGGGAGTGATAGATTAGGGTTATCAATTAGGATTTTAATATAATACCTGATTTTTGAATAAATAAATTTTAGACCTGATTTTTAAAAAGTAATCTTTAAAAACCTGATTTTTTATAATTTTCCAAGAAAAATAGAGGCTATCTTGCTAATCAAATGCCAATTGCAAATTGTCAAATTCAACACCCCGAAAAATCGAGGAGGAAATTTGGCCCATTCATGTATTTATTTTTTAAAATTAGAAAATTAAGTATTTCATAAAATAATTTTTAAGTCAGATGTCAAGAAAAGAGTATTTCTTAAATCAAGTATCTTGGAAAAAATCACAACCCAACATTTTCTCCTCCACTCACCCTCTATCACCCATGCACAATCAAATTCCACCATTTTTTAAAATCTTCAAATCCCAAAACATTGGCCTCTCCACAATTTACGAAATAAAAAGAAAGATGTTGTAAATGGTAAGTTTTTTGTGAATGACAATTATACCCTTGCAGTCCTAAAAATTATTATCATATGTATCCATAATCCTTCCTTATAAATATATGGATTTAGTTCTCATTATAATAATACATTGACTTTTATTCTCTCTTTTCATAATATATTATCAGCACGAAAGTTTAATTATTTCAAAGTTTAGTTTGGTAATATTTTTTAATCATTTATCACGTGTACCAAAATCAATTTGATAACATGTAATTTTTTTTTGATATAACACGTTATTTTCTTTGCCGCTATATGCATAATTAGTTTGAAGGTAAATCAAACAAGTTATTTTCTTTGCCACATACATACATAATTAATTTTTTTACTCACACGTAAATATTTGTAATCATATCTATACTCAATTTTGCAAAAAACTTATTTTCACTGCCACAAGGCAATATAATTATTTTGCATAATGATTCTTCTAAACTAGATATATTTCTTTTTGTTTTATTGTGTTGTTAATCAAATGGCAGATATCACAAAATTTGAGTTTGTTGCACGACATATCTGGCAAAAACTATTTGTCATGGGTATTTGATGCTGATATCCATCGTGTATAAAAAGATTTGGGATATACAATAAAAGAAGAAAACAAATAATCTCTGCAAGATTGTAGAAAATCACTCATCTTCCTTCGTCAT